GTATCTGTACCTGATTTAGCTCTTATTTCAACAACTGCCACTAAATGAAATAACATAATGTAATTAACTACTTTACTCATTTTATTTACTAAAATAGATAAATTAGGTTCGGACAAACGAGCTTCGGCTAATCGGGCCGCCCCCAAATAATTTCACCCAGGGTAAGAATAAGCTTTATGTCAGTCTAAAAGCCCCTCCACCCCTCTCCTCTCTCTCTCTCTTTGTCGGCTACACTCGTGGAGCTACAAACAGGGACGTGTATACATCCCAAGGGAGCCTAGAACGAAATTTCGTAAATTATACCTAACTTGCTAAAGTAGCCTAAAGAAGGCGCATATCAAAAAGAAGGAACTTTAAAAAAAAAGTTAGTTCAGGTATTTTGCTTTTGCTAAAAAAAAATAATTTAAGTATGTGGGTATCATTATATAATTTCTATTTATTCCATTACATAATATTTTTCTTATTGTACACATTCGAAAACAACATAACTTCAAACACGATACTTGATAAAGAAAAAGTTACCATTACTTTAATCGAATCTGTGCCTTAAACTGCAAACATAGCTAAAAAAGTTTAGTTTTACAAAACCAACAAATTTACAAATTTCCTTAATTTAGGCTATGTTTACATGCCTATATTGTAGCACCAATTTCCAAAAAAAATCTTACAAACACTGATCTCCAATGGAACATCACCAAAATTCTTTCGTTCAATGTATTACAGTTTGTGGTACTACCCTATTTTAAGTCCAAATATAACAGACTAAATGATAGCTCAATTAAAATTTTGTTCACAACTGCTCGTCATATTCTGAATCAGAATCTCATTTAAAATGTTCAGTCACAGAAATGGGATTTTTTGATCAGAAAGTGAGACAGCAGTACTGCAGAATAGCAAAATAAGAAACACAAAATTGCAACAGACATAAGATACTTTTGTTTATAGTGTTACAGCAAATTTTATGAGACTTCATTTCTCTACAACCTTTTCTACTTTGATACTGAAAAGTCGAAGTTGGCCAATTAAATCAGTCTTCATGAGATGTGTCACAAATATCAAGCATGCGGTGTTCAACAAAATATGGTTTACATACAGAGTTAAAAAATGCGCCTACATTAAGACATATAAAATTTGAAATTAAGCTTGAAAATAAAAACTTGAGTTTTTACTCTTCAGTGCGTGGTTCTGATGGCATGCGAACATACCTCATTTTTGATCTGTCATTTGTTAAAAAAACAACAACAACAACAAAATCGGAAAATAAAAATAGGTACGTTGGTAGATTGGTTTAGGGAATAAAGTGCATTGGAGTTGTAGAATTATACAGAGACATCACTCAAATTACAAAACATTGCAGTGATTTAGTGAGAAATTTAGACTACACACTCACGTTCAGAAAACTAAGCAACATCTAACACTTTTTGTCATATCAGCCATCACTTAAAGTGCAAATTAGAATCAGACATGAACAAGAAACACAGTTGGTCCAAAGCCTTACGGAGAGAAAAGTAGCAAATTACTTTTTCTAGATGTGAACTCCAAGTCTTAATGAAGTACAATGTAAAATTTCTATGTTCCTTACAGATTGTTTGTTAGTTTTTTAGTCAAACATTTAACATTGAGAATGCAAAAAATAATTCTTTGAGAACAGTTTTCTGTTCGATAAAATGTCCTCAGAAATGTTATGGTAGACTGATGTATAATCAATGGAAAATTCCAATGATGGAAAGTCTGAGTTACTGAATTTTGTACAAAAGAACTTAAGATTGTTCTAAAATATAGTAAAGCTGGTAAGGCCGCTAGGAAAAGATTTCACATGCTGCAAGAAAGATAGGTGCTGCTTTCGTGATTTGCATTAAATGTGTATAACAAGACAGGAAGAAAATTAGTACTAGAAAGCATAGGTTCAATGAGAATAATAATGGCAATGGTGAATGTACTCAATAGCTCAGAAGTAGACAACTACCTACACAAATCGTTCTTCTTATGATGAACCAGTTAACAGTACCACTTGATGGTAACTAGCTAATTATTTTTAACAAAGAGATTCACACAAGACTGTAATTTGACAGAATCTTTTTAACAACTAAATTTGAAAACAGAAATAAATCACATATTTACACACTATTCACAATTGGGCCATTTGTTGAAAGGTAACAAAAGAATAATAAGCAGAGGTACACAGATAGATCTTTATTGTTGTATATCAGCTTAATTTAGCCAGAAATTTGATGAAGCACTTTTACCAATCCTAAGAAACACAATGTGGTACCATTGGTTACCATCTTTGAAAGGTTTAGACATACACATTTTCACAACTTAATCAGATCCTGTCATATCTTCATAAGTTATGATTTTAGTCAAGCGTTGCAGATAAGATTGAATGAATAAACTAAATACATAAGATGGGTAAGGATTGAAAATATAAAAGTTAGAGGTTGTCCACACATATGTATGCAATAAAACGTGGGTGGTAGGGTTGAAAACAAAGGCAACCCTTGAAGTCAAAGCTGGCATTTCATACCTAGACATGATTGAGAAATTGGTCAAGTACAAACACATCAACATTAAAGCCTTTTTGAACAAGGTCCACAGAAAACAATGAAAATTCATTCCAACTTATCACACCACACACCTACAAAGGTTCTCTAGAGTGAAATGAGCTCTCTAGATACAATATTTCCGAACTTAAATTGTCTAGTGACAGGGACCCATAGGAAGGCTAACAGGGTGTGTCACTATAGTTCCAGGACTGGAAAACAGTAAGTTAAGTTGCTACTGCTGTTTCATTGACATAAGTAACTTAGAATGAATAAGTCTCGGACTCTTAGGTCAGCATGTTCGACTTTGTTCTGGGATACTTAAGACAAAAGGGTTGCTTGGGCTGCCAAGGTTGCTTCGGTTTTAACAACCCCCTCACCCTGTTTGCAAGGCCTCAGCAGCCCAAGTGACCCTCTTGTTTGGACGCGGAGCCACCTCTTTTCAAGAAATCACAACCCATAGAAAACAGATATGGTACCCAATGCAGTGTAAGATATGATGTCATTCATGAATACTAAAAGTTGAGAGTGGACAAAAAATGTTAAAGGCTATTCTTACCCACCAGTTTTTAAAATATGAATCAAGGGAATTGTGAATAAATAAATAAATAAATAAAAATAGTATAAAAGACACAGAGTGTCCGTAAAGTCATTCATTACAAAATTGCTACGTACATTTTCATAATGTAAGTAATAATAAAAACTGAGACAAATGATAGTAAACAAATGCCAGCTTTGAAATCTGATTTCCAATAGAGAAGATACACTGTTTTAAATACACTTTATCAGATTGACACACAGTTTTTTAAATGTTGAACAATCTCAGTATAAAATGAACAGGCCCCAATAAAAACAACAATAACTTTTAAAAATTGCACTGCCACATAAATTCTGATATTCTCTTACAGAGAATGAGCACCTCCAAACAGCTCATCACAATTCAAAACTTATGGCATTAAACTAACACTGATATTTACTACTACAAACTAGCGCAACACAATCAAATGAAACCATATAGATTTCAAAATTGAAAGAGGTTCTAGGACTGAAATTTTAATGAAGAGTGCTTGACTATACTAAAAATTAGCACAAAACCCGTTTCAACCATTCACAACGAGCAGCTGCATCTTCAATGTAGCACAATTTAAACAACAAAAATATTGACCATAAATATTAAATCTTGCATGAGACAAGAGCTTCATTATAATACATTATCTGAATCACATGGTCTGGTTCTGAAACAACAGTTTTATTCTTGGGGCAGTAGCACGATTCTCGATTCAACATCAACCCAGCAAAGCCTAAACAACAGTATCACAAAGAACTAAGTTTATCAGTCTGATTGTCAAAATAATGTGCAGAACAGCCTGATGGTTCGATGAACTGAATGTAAGAATTTCCTAGAGATATGCTGCCAGCTGAAAAGATTATCTCCGTATGACTTCAAGCTAAGAAAACCTCTTCAATTGTGAATAAACAGAAACTAAACATAATATTTATGCACCATGTATTTTAGCAGCATTGATAGATAAAAACCAGACTTGCTAGAGTTCGTAAAGCTAATATGGTACATACTGGTTGTGCGAATCAAGACTAAACTGCACATAACTCAGTTACAGCCTGTCCAGCTCCTAACCAACACTGCCACACAAAAAAATTATTGAAATAAAATATAAACGGCAAGTTTAATGCAGGGCACTGATCTACGTAATAAATAAATAAGATAATAATAATAATAAAAGCTACTAAAAGCCACTCTATTTCATCTGACTATCAATAACCCCAACCTGAGAAATCTCAGACATAGGGTGTACAGCACTATTGCACCATGCAGAATTCAACATGATAATTCATTCAACAGTACACAGAATAAGGTAATCATAAAGTTCTGAAAAGTAAAATAAAGATTTATGACACAGAACCAACAAAAAAATAAACGTATTTCAAATACAGTTTCAACCAAAGATCATTCAAACTGCCAGAAAACAGGAAAAAAAACCCTCTTAAACCCTTTACCACTAGCCCATGAAGGACTGTTACACCTTCAAAACCAACTAACTACAAACAATGCTGAATTCTAACACTCTCTACTACAGTAAAATGATTGTGTACATTTATTCGGTTTAGTAACAAATAATTGACAAGATGAAGTAACAAAGGAATACCTGTGTACATTATGTAAAATCCTTGTATAGCACTGTAAAGCAAGGGACAGCAGGCAAGAAATCAACACTGAGCAGCTTATAAATTCAAGAAGAATTTCAGAGACGAGTAACACCTCTGTTTTGGTTACAAGACATAACAACAAAAGTATCTACCCCTTTTCAGGTCTTTCATACAAATCACACTAGACAAATTAGGCTTTGGCACTTTTCTCGGAGAGCCCACTGGCAAGATCTTGCATGCAGTCAGCATGGCTTTGAAAACTTCGTATAGAACTTCCATTTTAAGCTTCAATTGCAAAATCGAATTTTTCGATAATTAAAGTAACAGGTACGGTTGAATTACACTTCAAGGAAATCTTGAGGTGTAATTTGTGCGTAAATTTGCCCGTGCACTTGACTGAGCTGTCCAGTTGTTTGGAAGACTGAAAGTAGATAGAAATCCAACAAGAATAAGAAATCCTTTACATTGGGGCTATATGGCAAGTTCATATTTCCTAAAGAAATCACTTAAAGAGAAAATCACAAATCCGTTATCCTGTCAAAAATCTAGTTGTTTGTGAAATCTGTTAACTTGGCTTCATCTACACTTTCCATTACTCATTAACAATATTTTAAATAATATAATACTGTAATGCCTTTAAGAGTCATATAAAACTTAATGGATAACTTGTACTTTTAGTGTTCGTGACCATCAGTACATTCATAACTTCAACTGAATGATACAAATCCATCAGAGCAAGTCATACCTGCCAAGTATTTCCGCGTTTTTCAAAATCACAATGAGTAGGATTGTAGTAGAATTAACAGGTCTACAAAAAAATGTCAACAGAAAGTTATCAAATTTCAAGAGAAGGAGAAAACTGGCTGCAAATATTTCCTTTTTTTGTCTTATAAAAAAGATGCAGGTTGAGGTTGATACATCAAAAATGTACTTTCTTTTAGTTAAAAAAAAAGGGAGGGGGACAGGAAATTTTACAATTTCCAACAGACAAAATTTGATCCAAAGGAGAGAGCACTAGGTACTTCATGGGAGAAATTTGAGGCTCTGTATTGCAGCAATACATAGTTCTTCAAATTAAAAGTTTACAAATGCTACAACCCCCACACAGGTACGTCAGAGTATCACAAATTAAATAGTATGCATTTTAGGCCACTCCGTGTTAAGCAGACACTCTTCTGCTTCTCAATATTAGAAAGAAATAAAGTCTCATTTGTACTTTGAGCATAAGCTTCAATTGCACCCAAGGATGAGGTCAAATGCAATTGTATAACTTCTACAAGCATTTCCAGTCACTAGTGAGAAGTACCAAAAGTAGTACTTCCTCATTTGTAACAATGCACGCAAGTATCAAATTGCGTCAGAAACACAGAAAGAAAGGGAGAAATATTTGTGAAGTAACTTCCTACAACCAGCCAGCCAAGTGCCCTCTCCTAAAGAGTCTGTTTACACCTGTTCCTCACATCTGCAAACCAAATTATGAAGCTTTTATATCCAGTTGGAGCAAAACCTTCAGTCGTTTTCCTCCATATCAGATAAAGATTAATCCTACTGTGCATTATGCAGGTATAGGCCTCCATCAGCTCACAGAGTTGACTGTTTTGGTACCACTAGATGTGGTTGACAGCATAGTTGACATAGAAGAAATGGTCACTGAGGTTCCTGTAACCATTGTAGTTGAAGTAGTAGAAGAGGTCACAGTGACTGACATAGAAGTACTGGTAGCTGAAGTGGTAACTGTAGAATCTGCTGGCACTGACTGACCAGCACTGGCATTTCTTGTTGCTGATGCTGAGTTTGGTGTAGAGTTGTCCACAACTGTGGGAGGGGCAGGGGGCGGAGTACTATCAACATGGATTGGAACAGGACGCATGCGTGCAGTCAGCTTCTGTCAACATAAGATACAATTAGTAAGATGGTAGGTGACACAAAACAACAAAGACCAATCAGTTAGGGCAACGCAATATACCTTTCGGCGAAAAGGAAAACACCCTTTGGACTCTGGTTCTGGAGGAGCATCAAGAATAAGGTCAGGTGTTCTTGTAATATTGGGACCAAAGTGATTCAGTTCTTTGTAGCATTCAGTCTCAATCATCTAGAAAAATATGGATACATGTATAAGATATAGAATATGTAACAAAAAATATTTTTAATCTACATCACAAGATAGAAATAATCTTACTTCAGTTTGCCAGGGTATTGAAACAGAGCCAGTATTGAATTTTGTATAAAAGGTATCATCAGTGGCATCCAAGTTAACTCCTTTAACGGTGGAGAATTGCTCAATATCCAATACATCTTTCGCATACACGGCATGAGGCTAAAATATGGATGAAAAAAATAGTTTAAATGGACATACCGGTATATGTATAGGAACAACACTGACTAGATGGTTGAGTTTAGATGGGTAAAACTTACATCAGGTACAAATGGTGGGTCACACATGCCAGCCTCAAGTCGTTTCCAGTTTAAACAACTGAAAAACTCATGTTGCTTCACTTCTCTTGCACCCTGTCGTCCACATTGACATCCCAATCTAGTCTTGGGAGACTTTTTCAGGAGCTAAGGAAAATGTTATCAATTTTAATGTTCTTTACATTGGCAACAAATATATCTTATGCATAGTAATGAAAAAAATTGCAGTTTAATAAAACGAAATTAATAGATAATCTACACTTACTTGTTGGCAAAGTGACATAGCCTCGTCACTAAATTTATGTGAATAGTTCTCTGTATCATCCTTAACACGTCGGTCTACTTCTTCTCTTTTAACCTGCAAAGAAGAGAGTTGAGATTGTGTTACAGAAAATTAAAATTATTACTAAGAAAACAAAAACACACACAAAAAAACAAATTACATTTACTAACTGCAATCCCAGTAATTATTAATAATCAATGTGAAACCAGCTTTAATCTTTAAATTCACTGATATAAGTTACTTTATAATTTACACTTCCTCCCAGAATGAACCACCGGATCAGAGGACCCATACCCAAACAAACAATTTCAAAAATGTTTCTAACTGCCCTGTCTTTACATATATATACACAGAAAAGTACAGTACCTTTTCTTTGCGGGCACGAAATGGTGCTTGACCTTCAATCATTTCATATATAAGACAACCAAAACTGAACCAATCAGGACTGAAGGTGTATTTATCGTTGTCAATGACTTCTGGTGCTAAATAATTGAATAAAAACAAAAGATTTTATGAACCTCTGATAAGTAATATAAGTAATAAGTAATTTAAAAATAATGGTGAAAAGTCTTACCCATGTAACCAACAGTGCCAACTCTTCCTCGAACCATATCCCCCTCCGGAATTTCAACAGCAAGGCCTAAGTCAGATATTCTGACATGACCAGTATCATCAAGGAGTATATTTTCAGGTTTACAATCCCTATAAACAATGCCTTGCGCATGGAGATGTTGCAGACCACACAAAACCTACAAGGTTAATACAATACAACATTAATTACAAAAAGTGACTGATGTGTTCTAAACAAATTTATAGAAGGAATACTGTAGGCAGTTTATAAACTTACTTCAGCAGCATAAAAACGTGACCTATTTAGATCAAAACCAGGTTCACCACCCATGTTATATATGTGAAATTTGAGGTCTCCACCGTTCATGATTGTTAGAACCAGACAAAGTGCATCTTTAGTTTCATAAGCATAAGCCAGGCTTACCTGGAACAGCAAATAAGCATCGGCATTAGTTTGGATGAATAACCAATAGCAATGTAAAAAATTGGAAATTACAGTATTAATAGAAAATAATTAAAGTTTAAGCACATACCACAAATTTTGAATTTATTCTCTGCAAGATTTGCTTTTCTATCAGCACCATAGCCTCTCCTTTTCGTTTTTTAATGCGTTTTTTTTCGAGTTTCTTGCAGGCATACATTTTCCCTGTTGCACGAACCTGGCAAGCACAAACCTCACCAAACCCTCCTTTCCCTAATACACGATACATTCGGAATGTCTTGTGCGTCACAGGTTGACTAAAACACAATAACAGGGTAAGTTAATTTAAGACATGAGATTTTCTGTAATGAACTTATTTTACGTAAGAAGAAGATAGTAGTATACCTTTCAAGCCACTTCCATTGTAAGTAGCGGTGGAAATACATTGACTCCTGAAATTGATGAAATGGTTCCCCTTCTAAAAATGCCTTGACTGCAGAAGAGCATTCATCAAACACGTCTTTGTTTGCTGGTGAGAGTCGTTCTTTACATCTTTCCACAACTTCTGCATTGAGTACATCCACTGCTTCAGATGCCTAAAAAGACAAAAATCCCTCAAATTAGCAGAGAAAACATGTCAAGATAAAGACAGTAAGGTTTAAAATTAGTACTTACATCTCTTTGTAAGTAGCGCTTGTATAGTGTCTGCGCCAGGTCAGATCGATTCTCATCAGATTCGACTTCATACTGCTCCTAAGCAGATAAAGATATTGAACAGAAGTATAAGTAAAAGGACCAAATAACATTACTAATAATACGGAAGTCAAATCCATTACATATCAAAAGATAGATACAAAAGTAACAAAAAAACACAACAGCATATGTGAAAAAAAACAAAAGCACTTACGATGGCATCAAGGAAGATATTGTAAGTATGATATTCTGGATGAAGACGTTCACAAAATTCTCGGAATAGAAATCGCCCAATGGGCTGCTGATCTACAACGTAACCGTACCTTACATCTGTAGAGGTGAAGCAAACAAACTATGAAGCAATGTGTAAGGAGCATAACAAACTAAACTTGATATTTAGGAGAGTTTTGAAATCATATGCAAGCAGGAGGTGCACCTAATGTGGGTTGGGAGGAACATATTTACACACCAGCCTGGCAAACCATCTGTCACTATTTTAAAATTTGGTTTCAAGGATATCATCATATTGTAAAATAATTCCACTAAAATTAAAAGATTGTATCAAAAATATTTGTAAGAGCTGACTTTACTAGGACTAAAAATAGAAGTTATTTGTACTCTTCAAAATAAAAAATTGACTGTAAAAGGTTTCTACCAATAGCTTTAATTCTTTTGAGTGAACTATTTCAGAGAGGGTATCGCTTTGCATCTTTGGAAGTTGGATCTAGAGGGTCCACTACCCCTGAATTAAATATTTTTTAGGGTGTGTTCGGCAAATTTCTGTGCTCCTCAATCAAAGGCGAATATGTAAGTAGCAAGCCTTGTCATGTTGATGAAATTCTATCCTTGTCTAACACATGGTATATTCAATTGCATCTTTAATTTCTTTCAGTTAAACCTTTGCGACGCTTGCCCAGAACAACTCCCAAACAAATGTTAAATGCTTCTCACATCACCACATAAGCTGAACGAAATGTATCTATGAAAGGATGCCATGGACTTCACTATGAAGCAGACTCAAATGAGATCCAAAACACATTGATCAGACAAATCAATGAGAAGTCAAGGTAGAGTGAGAGCAGCTTCGTTCATTCGTGTGAACTTGTACCATGTCTAGCAATAGAAATGGTCACAACAATGAGGCTAAGAGTCTGAATCGTCCTATCTAAAGCTTGCCAGAGACAAATTAAAAAAAAAAAAAATGATGGCTGTGTAGGTTTCACTGATGAGACCAGAGACTTGCCACCCAAGTGGTTCAAATTTGAAAGAGGAGCGAGGATACTGCCCAAATGCACCATTAGGACCAAACTGATTTTTTTAAGTCCCTTTGACTTTGAAAAAAAAATAGTTTATAGACATTTTCCAATGTGGGTGGACTGATAAACTTACCTATTTTTTTTTGAAGATCCAAACATTGGGATATGTGGGGAAACTGAAGAATTTTTTTCCATTTCTTGCTTTTGCCTTTGTTACTATCTCCTCCACCTGTAAAGAGAAAATTAATGGGTTTTTTTTCTGGATCAACTCACCAAAATAATTTATAAATCACAATTAAGTTTAGTAAGAACTGATTATTGGCGACTGTAAATTCTCAGATACAGATAAGGACAATTTTAAAAATATTTTTTTACTAGAAAATAGGCTAGAAGTAAACCAGTGACAAAAACAGACGTAAAACCGGTAAAGTGAAAGTATTTCAGAGCTAGTGCAGCAGGTTAGGTACCATCCTGCAACGCTTGTTCTCAAGGAGCGGTTGTGGCAAAAACCGTTAATATTCGCAAGAGAACTACATGCATAATTTAAGAAAAGCGAATACATACTATGCAACTATTAGAGTATAATAACGAGTCATATGATAAGATGTTGATGCAGACGAGACACTAAATATAAGCCTAACCTCACACCGATGAAAAATAACACCCACCTTCTCTTGCTTTGAGGTAAACAGTATTGGCGACAATATTCTCTAATTCCATGAGTTCCAGCTTGCCCGATTTCCCGTTTTCCGGGCCGAAATCGACCCGTTTCCATCAAAATATATTTACAACAGTCGGGGTGTGGTACACAGCTGAATATGGCGGCGGACTCCACAGGAAACGTCAATTATCATTTCTATTAGCATATAGTGCACCACAGGTCGCTTCTTACCACCAATGAAATATGCGATAAGGGTAAAGTAAACAAATTAAAATAATGAGGTGTAAATTTTAGGAACGTTTGAGGAGATTGTGGATTTCAATTAATCATAACTCGAAAATTGATCAACACAGAGGCAAAGCCGAGATCAACGCACACGCATGGCTTTCAATTGTTTTCTCACAGGCGCAGGATGCTGCTTCCCAGCCGTTTAGATCTCTTGCATGTATGACGTGAGGCATTCAGATAACGCCGTAAGAGTGCGCAGTTCGTAATGATTTATTGATAGCATCGAATTTTAGAGTTTTATGATTATTCATGGCTAATGTACTGTCTATGGGCGATCAAATAGAGTACTTTCGACTTAGCTGGCCGGCCCCGGCCCGCTAGAGACCGGCGCGCAGTTTCAAAAGAAGTCGCGGTTATGCGTGTGTGACACCTTTGGAAAGGCGACACGTAAAGCTTTACGCGCTCCTCCCGATCGAAGATATGCCCGTCGCCCGTCCTTCCTAGTCTCGGGAACAAGGCCGGGGAACTCCCGTTCGTTCGATTATTCTACAGGGTGGTAGCTGCGCCCGGTTCCAGCAAATGTGTACACTAGCCCGTGAGGTCATTCCCTACATTCTGGCAGAGCGGCTAGGCTTTGTTTTCTGACCACTTTTGATAGGCTCATAAACACCGGGGTCGAAGGGACGGTGGGACGGTACCCGAAAGCTAGAGTGGCTACATCCCCGAACCGAGCCTAGGCGTGAGCATTGCCCTGGAGAGAGAAAGCCCCACGCAGGTCGGGAGACGGGTGTGTGGTGACGCGCTTGAATTGTAGTTTGAAGGGTTGCGCGCGCACACTTAGGCAGTTAAGGCAGCCGCCACGAGCTAGCGCTAGGGGGCCACGACCGAGGCTAGGAGGTTTTCTGTCTGATCTGAAATACACACTTCTGCATTAGCCTACCTTGCGTACACATCTCTCCAACCCATACCCAGAAACTACACAACGGGTGGACACTCTACATCGGCAGGTCAACCCTTGTAACACACCGAGCTGATGATTTACGCAATAACAGAATGACATTGTGTGAGTTCACGAGCTACATCCGTACCTTTACGATTTTTGGCATTCCCTTCGAGTTAGAGACTTTGCCGGTCTGCCGGTAACCGGCCGGTAGCCATCGAGGATGCAGAGGCTCAGAGGGTCCAGATATTGTAGCGAATGTTGAAAATAATTGAAAAGAACGGCTGGCCTTGCCACTGTGCCACTGCCACTTGGTTGCCGCGAATCCCCCCCCCCCCCCTCCCTCTTCGTCTCTGGTGAACCGCCAGAAAGGTAGGCAATTCGTGCTACAACACCACCGCGTTTTGGGATTGGGATAGCCATACCGACGACATACTCATTCCGTCCCGTTTGTAAGTCCTGAAGAGGAGAAGCCGGCGCCGCTTGTTCCGAAATCCTTCGGGTGTTATGGATGTTATGGGGGCGCGGTAGAAGTGACCTATTTGGATAGAGGGGGCGTGGATTGGAGTGACTCACGCTAGACACGGATGGGATATTACGGTGGGATGGAAAGGGAGGAGCGGGACGGGGGGACTTTAGCAGCTGTGCATATTGTGCGTTGTGCTACAACTTTCAGAAAGTATCTGAATCTCGTAACTTTGAACGTTCAAGGCCACGTTCAGTAGGCTACAGCGAAACGTGCCCTAATTTGCTCAGGAAAAAACACGACTTCGAGGAGCGTGTTCCGCACCCGGGTGTGATCAGGGGCACGATTCAGAAAAAAGACTGCGAGTCTGACACGAGCATGATGAGCATCACCTGTGCTTCACGGGCATAGCCTCGCGCTTATTAGAGGAGGAAGGACCATATCGGAGCGCGGACCGCCGCCGCCGCCGCGCTGGCGAGTCGGAGGCGACGTGACCGGAGCGCCGTCGCGCTTCTGTCATAAAGAACAGAGCCGAGACGGAGGAGCGGGGGAGAAGGGGACGGCGACGCGGCGGGAGATGGAGATGAGGAGGTGTGTGCGAGTGGCGTGCGAGTGGTCCGGGCTGCACGTGTCCGAGACGGAGCGGCGGCGTGGAGGTCCAGTCGTGTCGGCGAGCCGCGCTCCTGCACACACCGCCCCGCGAGTCGCCATGGGGTCCGTCGCGCACCTCGCCGCGCTGGCCCTCCTGCTCGCCCTGACGACGCTGCTCGCCGCCGCGTCCGCGCGCCACCATGAGCCCCGCGCCGGCGCCGGTGGCAAGAAGGCGGCCCTGGTCCGCCAGCTCCTGAGGAAGAGCAAGATCAGCGAGGCGACCGTGCGTCTCGTGGGGGGACGAGTGCCGAGCGAAGGTAATATGGGGCATTGTCTTCCTGATAGTGCCGGTGGCGCCGCGCCCCGTCGGTGCCCTATGGCGCCCCACTTACCTGGGCGTGCCGCGGGGCGGGACGCGCGGGGTGTCTGCGCGAACTGATTTATCGACACGCTGTTGAAATGAATTTGAAATGAGCCGGCAAAGGCTAGCCGTCGTGAACGACCCAGTGCCGCGAGTCCGACTCTGTCGCTCTTCGTTTTCCCGTCCGTACGGTTTACTTTGAAGTTTTGCAGGTATGGTGTTTGAGTGTTTGTGTAGACGTTTCCAAGCCAGAATACAGGGTGGTCCACCGACCCCTTCCTTTATTTCGCTTATACTGTACACCGCATG